ACATGAAAATCAATTTCTCCTATAATATATATTTTTATATATTGTGTATTATTCATACACCTCAAAATAAACACAAATTTCAAACACTTACATCTGCACATTGAAGATCAAATTAATTTCACATGTATGTCCAACAGAAATTAAATGAATATTTGAACACTGCACCTTCTTGCTTCACCTCAGTGAAACCAATGTACATGACATACACTTAATTTTTTTTTATTTAACGCCAATTAGTAAGTAAAATTTATTCTCCAGTAGCCTTCTTATTTCTCCAGATGCAGAACAAACAGGAAGAATAACAGAAGCAGTTACAAAAAGTGAACAGCAGGTGTCACACTCTGTCAACCTGCTTACTTTGACTATAACAGCAACACAGATGAGTAACAAAATAAGAAACCAAAAAATGTTATGTCCCAAAAACACTATATATATATATATATATATATATATAGATAGATAGATAGATATAGATAGATATAGGTATATAGATATATATAGAACAGTCAACACTATAGATAGATAGATAGATAGATAGATAGATAGATAGATAGATAGATAGATAGATAGATAGATAGATAGATAGATAGATAGATAGATAGATAGATAGATAGATAGATAGATAGTGTTGACTGTTTTGCTGTAGAATAACAATATAGCCCCCTATTAATCCCAGGAATTTAGAGAATATCTTGATGCATGCACAATTTAGCAAGTAAGTAAATACCCAAAAGTTGATTCTGTTCATCTGGACGTAGCGATTTCAGTGGGAGAAACATTTTGTCACTCATCCAAGTGACTTCTTCACTCTCAGCTGACTTTATAAACAGAACATTTGCATGTGTCTGTGAAGGTCCTCAGTCATCCAGGTCATCGTAGTCTAAGGAGCTTGGAAAGAAAAGCGTCTGGACTTCTTTAAGTTGCTTGAACCTCTCATCCTTAGAGAACATTTGCACAATAACTTAAACTAGCACCACTGAATGAACAATGGGCTTGGAGGTCAGTTCCTTGATCATTAATATGCAAATTCTCATGACCATTGATCAACAACCACTGATCAATGGCTTTGATGGTGCTAGTTTCAGTCATTATGCAAATGTACTGTTTATAAGATTGGGGAAACCTGGAGTCAGCTGAGACTGAAGAAGTCACCTGGATGAGTGACGAAATGTTTCTCCCAGAAAACGCTACGTCCAGATGAACAGAATCAACTTTTGGGAACTTAGAGAATAATTTCTAAATAGTAGTGAAGCTGTCAGCACATGATTGGCTTTAAGGAGTTTCATTTATTCATGAATCTGTATGTCAAAAGCCCAACAGTTAACATGGGATGTGCTAATTTTATGACATGACTGTATCTGGTTCAGTGAAGTTGACATTATTGCCCTTTACTTTTGCTGCACCAATAAAATATAATATGGTAAGACTTTATTATTTTATTCTACTATTCCTACACTATCAATGGGCTACTTTTATAGTAAGATGAATCTACAGAGCGTAACTGGAAAGTGTTTGATTGTCAGACTTTTGATTTTATTTGTAAAGATTAAAGTAACTACTTAACTTTAATTATGACTCAACACTCCATGTTTATTTTCTTTCTCCTTTGAGTCAACAGCTTATCTAATTCAGGGTCACATGGGTGCTGGATCGTATCTGACATCTGGCAGTCTATCGCTGGGCTAATTTTTAATTTTTTTCATTTTTATATGTTATTCTTTTCTTTTTGTTTTTAATTTTAATTTAGTGTTTTGTTTTTGTTTTTTGCTAAGTTTTTTTAATTGTTCACAAACTTATATAGACATAAAAAGATTGGACGTATTTACGTACCACACCACATGCACAGCAGAAGAACAGTATGGTCACTGGAAAGAAGAAGCAGACCTCGATCCATATCAGGACTCCCCACATCTCCAGCTGACTTTCTGTGTGGTGGAGTTGCTGTAGAAGAATTTTCTACTCTCTTTAAAAAAAAAAAAATAATAATAATAATAGTAACAATAATAATAGCAACTCAAAATACTGCCACATGCTTGTATGCATGCCTGACAATAGGATGATGGCTTGTGTCCTGGGGAATCTCATCCCACATCTAGGATGATGTGGGTACAAGGGCATCACTGAGGTGGAAAGTGACCCAGAGGTTTTCCATTGGCTTTAGGTGAGTTTGGGGTCCAGTCAGTGGAATTAATTCCTTCATCCTCCAAGACTGCCTGCTCTCACTACATAAGGATGAGTATTGTGTTGCACCAGGAGGAACCCAGAACCCTCTGCACCAGTGCAGGGTCCTGATACTAAATCACAGTCAGGGTGCCGTTGCCTAACCCATAGAGGACTGTGTGTCCCTTCATTGCCTCTCCAGACCATCACTGACCCACCACCAAAACGGTCATGCTGAATTATGTTACGGGCAGCATTATGTTCTCCATGGCTTCAGACATTTTGACACCTGTCATGTGTGCTCAAAGTAAACTTGCTTTCATCTGTGAAAAGCACAGGATAACAGTGGTGGCTCTGCCACAAACCCCACTTGGCAAATGCCACTTGGGCTCCATGGTGTCGGGCAGTGACCACAGGGCCCACTAGTGTATATTGGGCTCTCATGCTACCTTCATGAAGTTTGTTTTGATTGTTTTTTCAGAGACATTCACACCAGAAGAGTGATGGAGTTCATTTTGTAGGTCTCTGGCAGTGCTCACCCGGTTCTTTACTGAAACCGGTCATGCTGATAGGTTAAGGACCTTCTACAGCTCTGCCCAGCTTTCCTAGAGTAACTGTCTTTCTCCTGATACTGTCTTGGGAGACCCAGGAAACCCTCTAACTACTTTAGCATGGCATGTGTAACCTCTGTAGGGTCCAGATATTTCCTCATGAAACCAGTAGTGACCCTACCCAAATGCAAAACTGAAAAAAATACTGAAAAGATCCATCCATCCATTTTCTTCCGCTTATCCGAGGCCGGGTTGCGGGGGCAGCAGCCCAAACAGAGAAGCCCAGACCTCGCTCTCCCCAGCCACCTCCTCCAGCTTATCCGGGGGAACACCAAGGCATTCCCAGGCCAGCCAAGAGATATAATCTCTCCAGCGTGTCCTGGGTCTGCCCCGGGGCCTCCTCCCGGTGGGACATGCCCAGAAAAACTCTCCCAGGAGGTGCTCAGGGGGCATCCTTGTCAGATGCCTGAACCACCTCACCTGGCTCCTTTCGATGTGGAGGAGCAGCGGCTCTACTCTGAGCCCCTCCTGAATGGCCGAACTTCTCACCCTATCTCTAAGGGAGAGGCCAGTCACCCTTTGGAGGAAGCCCATTTCTGCCGCTTGTATTCGCGATCTCGTACTTTCGGTCACTACCCACAGCTCGTGACAATAGGTGAGGGTAGGGACGTAGATTGACCGGTAAATTGAAAGCTTCGCTTTTACGCTCTCTCTTCACCACAACAGACCGGTACAGCATCCGCATCACTGCAGCCACTGCACCAATCTGCTGAAAAGATGAGGACGGATAAAATGCAGGTGACTTCAACATACAAAACCATTTTTGTTTTGGGGTTGTCTCCTTGTTGTCCCTCTAATGCACCTGTTGTTAATTTCATTAACATTGATTAATAACACCCCATGGCACTCACCTTACGCTGATTAAAAACATTTAAAAAGTGTTCTTCTATTTTTTTAAGTAGTATATATAGTATAGCATTTAAATTAAACACATGCAAAATTTTACTTTGTGTGAAACTTCTCATAGTTTCAAGCCTCCTATCTACATTTGGAACTTTTAAAAACTGCAACTTCTTTCATGTTTTTTATGGTGTTTAAGATCCCTGATAAATTTGGGGATAAAAAAATTGATTTAAGCTCTGTTTAAAAATATAAAAACCAACCACTTGTAACTTTTTAAATTTCAGCAACTGTTATATTTGTCATTCTGTTTACCCAAGAAATTAAAACTAGCCTAATTTAAGGTAGCCTTCATAAAGGGAAGTTTAACTTTAGAATTAATTCATTAGACTAGTAATGCATACCCAACAAACTAGTAACTGATAATGTCAGCAGCTAAACACATTGATCAAATCATCATTTAGTCAAAACAAAATTAAATAGTCCATTACCAGTGATCACATTTATATCCACTCACATTAAGAGCAACTCACTGCAGACAATCTCAGTGTACTTAATTGCACTATTTATAAAGTTTTTCTTCATAATTATGCATACATTTAAAATAAATTGAATTATGCTCCTCTTCACGTATAAATAATAACAATAATTGTAAACATTGTCTTTACTTACCTGAGGACTGCTTTCAGTTGTAAAATCTTTAATATGATGAGTTTGTCTTGAACATGCAAGTTGTGGTGGCCTAATTTACACCCCACCCCCACTGACATGTGGTCACACTCAAAGTGCAGATGGGGTTTTTCTTCAGCATAGAAACACTTTCTTTCCCAAGATTACCACATTCAAGTTTCATATACACTAATCAGTTGATCTGTGCTGTTTTCTATACCCAACATAGTGGCTACATGAAACTAATAATACAAAGTAAAGGAAAAGTAAAGCTTTTATCTATGATACTTTTTGATTTTTTGCTTTTAAAAAAATCTAAATTGTTAACAGTTATTTATTGATATCTGTCATTGTTAAACTACCCAAAATATAAAATTTCAGTCATCTTTTTCATATAATCTGTGTTCCCATGTATTCTTCTTACAAATAATTTAAATGCTCAGTGACTGTCTATGTTGTTTGTAAATCCAGTGATCAGCAGTCTTTATGATGTCATAATTTGTGGTGATGCTAGGTAGAAATAGAAATATTTCTACCTGCATAGATGACAGATGATTGAGATACCATATTGAGATAAGGTAGATCTGCATAAGGTTCAAACTATCAACTAACAACATAAATGTGTTGGTGACGAGTTTACTGTGATCATAGATAACAGCAACAACAAGTACTTTTCTTATAGACTTTTATTACTTATATATTATTTACAGGAAAGTCTTCTTTTACATCTTTAAAAACATTGAAGATACAAAAACTTTATGTATTTCAACATTGTACAAAACTCGTATCCACATCACAAGTATTCTTGCTGCCTCTTCAGTCCAGTTATTAACAATAAAGGAGAGATGATGACATGAAGTTGTTGTCCTGCTGCAGTATCTGAACCTGTGGTAAAGCAGCTTCGTTATTAAAATCACTGTAATCAGCTACATTTGCAGGATTGTCTTGGCTACGTATAAATATCATATACATAATAAATAGTACAATATTATTTCTAAAACTCAGTAGATCAGAGGAAATGGAAATGTTATTGTGAACGAACACAAATATACTATATATTTATAATCTGATTATAATTATATATATCAGATTATAATCTATATAAATATATATATAATCTATATTTTACCCTTAAATGATCCCATAAGAAAAAAAAAAATCACATAAATTCAAGTTACAGAGAACTGAATATATTATTTGGACATGCTGTAGAAACAAACTCACTTCCGTCACTTGCCTCTCTGGGGAGAGGTAAGTGTCTTGTTGTTTTTCCTCGGGCTGGGGATCCTCTTGATAATGTATTGCTTTCTGTATATAGTGTTGGTTGTGTTCTCTCCCTCTTCTTCCGTCTCCCTGCCTCTGTTTATGTTTGTTCCCGGATGTTTTGGGTCACTGGAAGGATTGCAACACCTGAAGTGTTTCTGCACTGGAGGCTGCCACACCTGCTGCCCATCACTAGCTGCAGCTGATGGCCTCGTTAGGAGCACACTATTTAAGAGTGTGGCTGAGCTCCAGTTGGTGTGGGATTATACCAGAGTGAAACTTGTTAGTACTACCATAGACTAACATGCATGAAAGGCCTCGCTTCAGTGAATGGCCATATGTTACGCCCCCTCCCTTAAACCCGGGGTGGCCACCGGTCAGAGCAGCGCAAGGGAGCGGGCGTAACATAAGTGGGAACTTGTCCGAGATTATTCTCGTGGTGTGTGGCGGTTATGGCGCAGTTCAGGTTAGAGGATTTTAATGTGCAGCCTTCAGTGGAGGATCTAGGGAGGTGTTGAAAGGATGATCTCTGTGCTGTTGCCGCCCCATTACGGTATTGTGGTGGCCAGGTCGCTGAAAAAAGAAGATATGAAAGCTCTTGTGGTTGGGGGGTTGGACACTCTCCAACCCATCTAGCGATGCCCTTAATGCGTTTGAACGTATTGCCCTGGCCCTGCACTGGCCCAAAGAGGTTTGGCCTTTGCCGCTGCAGTGTAAACTGGTCGGTAAGGTGCAGGTGTGTGCAGCTCTCGCACCTTGAGGACAGTTTGGTGTATGATAAGGTATGGAGTGCCATTCTCAGAGGCTTACAGACAGTGTTTTGGGTCCCTCCGAAAGCCCCCCACACAAACCTTTCTTGAGTTTGCAAGGGAAAAGGGTATTAGCCACACTGATGTTTCTGTTTTTAGTTCAGATATTGTCATCATTGTGGATGTTTTTGCTAGACGCTGTAAATGTGTAGTACGTGTGTGCCACATATGTGTTATAGGCAGGAACACAACGGTTACATCATTATCATACAGCATACGGATGATGATGCCCGATGAGGAGCGAGACGAGGAAGCCGACGAAGCCGCCTCCCCCTCAGTCTTTTCTCTCTTCAGAGAGCTTGACCTCTGAGGGCCGCCATGGCTCTGACTCTTCAGAGGAACCGTCACCTGCTGTGTGGGAGGGATGTGGCCGTGCACAGATGCCGGCCTCTCGCTGCCTTTCCGCCGCTCCAACTTGGCTCTGAGTGTGGAGTACGAGTCAGCATGGGCGGGGTTGTGGGTGAAGGACTGAGAGCGCTTCTTGCGTGGGTTGTCATCAAAGAACTCAATGATGAAAGCTTGCTGAGTGAGGTGCTCGGGGGGCGCCTGTTTGGGAAATTCGGTGGGTGACAGAGCTTTAGGAGGACTCTGGGACAGGGGCCTCTCAGGGGCTACGGGTGAGGCAGAGGCCGGTCTGGGTGGAGCATACTGCAGTGGTTGGTGTAGCTGACTATGGATGGACTGGCCTGATTGGATGACCTGCTGCGACGCCTGGGACAGCTCTGATTGCATAGAGTGCTCAGTGCGGACCGAGTGGTGGGATTTACCCCTTCCTTTGAGAACTGGGTCCTCTGAGTCACTCTGGGTCCCATCCTCATGGTGGTGACCTAAAGACAGGAATAAAGATGTCAGTGAGTACTAGCTTTTGAACTTTGAAGCTCAATGGTCACAAGTGTATGACTGAAGCTTTGATAGCCTCAAACAAAGACAGAAGTTTAGTGGGGTCAGTAAAATCAGAGAAATATCAGAAGATTCAGGGACCGTGTGTCAATAAATTGTTAACAATGAAGTGCTGGACAGGTTTTATCACCAGCAGGAAGCATAATCCCCGATTACCTGTGAATGACAAACAGGTAACACAGGTATGGTCCGGAACACAGGTGCAACTCTGACCTTTCAGGGTCTTGATGTTCATGGCGAGGTCACTCTTGGTGCTGTAAACGTCTTCAGACGGTGGGCGTCTCTTCATCATGCTTACATCACTGTGGACCAGCCAGTCAGCCACCTTGCTCTCTGCTGACATCACCTCTGCAGGTGTGGCCATGATGGCTGTCTTGGTGGGTGTAGCCTGCAGCTTCCTCTGGCGAGTGGAGAACTTGGTGATGTGGTCTTTAATCTTGATCTTCCCAGGCATGCAATCATCAAACTCAATGGTAAAGGAGGCATGGCTCTGAACGACAGGCGGAGTCGGAGTGGGAAGTGAGGGTGGGGCCGGGGGCGTGTCAGTGTCCTTGGTGGGGATCTCATGGAGCTCCGCGCCTGAGGACTTAGGGTGCTGGAAGTCCTTGGTGGGGATCTCAAAGTAGCTCGGCTCACGGTGGTACGAAGGGAAGGCGGACTTTGGCTGACAGTCTGACAGCGATGCAGAAAATTCTGGATCTGCAGAGGGAGCGTCTTTCTGAACATCTGACAGAGGCAAAGAGATGACATCTCACCAACATCATCAATAACGCACCATCAGCTCAATTTAGCTTTATTTATACAGCACCAGTTTACTGCACTCCTCCACTTTATTAAGGTGTGCGTACCTGAATGTGGCTCATCGCTGGTTTGGACTTTACTCCCATAATCCTCCTCTCCCCACCAGGAAGGCTGGCCATACAAAGGAGTGGGCCGACACACCGGCGCCTCTGTCACAGAAACGTGTGATAGGTGAAATTGCCGACCAATCAAAGTGTCCCGAGGAGCGTGAACAAACGACTTTCTGGTTTGTTACTAAAACATTTTCCTGAACGAGCAGATTTATAGTAAAAAATACATCAGAACAAACAGCAACACATCATCTGCGTACAGGAACACACAGCGGCCAGACACCTGATCCAGTACTTTTTAACCCTGCACCAGGCTTTCTGGTGCAGGGTTTTGTGTTACATTATGTTTTGTACAGTGCAGTATATTTTTGACCCTGTGTGATGTCAAAATTTTGTGTTATTGCTTGTATTACGCCCAGTATTGTTAGGAGTACATTTGATACACAGTATATTTACTGCCAGTACTGTTGCTGTATTATTGTTACCCTGTGCGAGGCTCTTGGTACTCTGCGCTTTCTCGCCTCTCGCCCGCTCATCCACGTCACTCTTCTTCCCCTCTGAAGGCTTTAGGCTCATCTGCAGCTGACTGCTGTACTTCTCATGCTGAAACAGAAGAATGAGGCAAACGTACTCAAGGTACTGCAAATTGCATGTACTCACGGTACTGCATGTGCTCACGGTACTGTACATGCTGTGTGTAGTCATGAGAAATTCATGACGCTCTGAGTAGTTTTGGAAATGCAAACTAAATGCAGTTAAACAAGGAAATTAAATAACACCCTCTATGCAGTAATTTGTACAATAGAAAACACACACCCACAAACACCAACCTTTAGGGCCTCCTCTGGGACTTTGTGTTGACTTTTCTCCAGAACGTAGACGTGAGAATGTGAACAACAGCTCAGAAAAATATTAAAATTATCACACACACACACACACACACACACACACACACACACACACACAGAAACACACAGGCGCGCACAGACACGCACACAAACAGTGCGTGTGTGCGTCTGAAGGATATCGTATCCGAAGCGGATGATGTCGGACAGTTTGAGGGTGATGTAGGTCTGATCAGGAATCCGAAGGTCGTTTACAAATGTCTGCAGGAAACAAACAAACAAACGTCCAGGTGAAAGTTTCTGATTATGATGCTGAAGTCCACTCTGAAGGTTTTCACTCTTTTGTGATTTTACAGTTCTTGCCTGTTTAAATTAAAGTGGAATTAAATTTTTTTAAGTTAATAAAAAAAAAAAAAAATCTTTGTACTGTAACCTGTGACTTTAGGCATCACCACCCCCCACCTGTGTTTGCTGCTGATTGGTGGATACCTATGATAATGTACTGATATGTTGTGTATGGCTCACCCCATTGAGGCTGCCCAGGTCCTTCACCAGGTGTTCATCAGTGGTCGGGTTGTAGTTGATGACAGCGTGCTGTTTGTCCACACTGCGAGACTGAGACACACACACATACAACTCTTTTTGCTTACTTTCACTGCGACTCAAACAAGACACCATTACAACTTCCTTTTTCAGACCAACCTAGAGGGAGGCAATTTCTACTAACCCGAACACCTGCACAGGTCAGCCTCACCTGAAGCATCAGCTCGCAGTCCTCTCGGCCCACAAAAATCATCTCTCGGGGGAGGCGGTGTCGAGTCCCCGAACTGCTTACCAGGAACCATGATGTCACACTCATCTTCACAGGCCTGCTGAGAAACCCCAGAGCATCCTGGGAAATGAAGACAGAGGCAGGTGATACAGGTGGGTTTGTGCGGGCCTGTTGTGCCACCGTGACAGATTTTAAATATTTAATCAGACAAAATGAGTCATTTCAGACGATCCTGCTCTTACTGATTTGTGTGTGTTTGAATCCTGACAGCTGAGGCACCTGCAGGTGTGTAGTCAGGTCCAAAAGGACCTGCAGGTTGTCCACACCAGCCTGAGTCTGAGGTTCAAACACCTTCAACTTTCAATTAAGCACTGAATGAACTCCTACAGACATTTTTATTCACAGTGCTCTGATTACAGAGGTTCGGCACAGAAACGGGGTCATGCAGTCAAATATGTGATATTTATTAAAAACACAGAGCATGAGCAAATCAACTGTTCATTTCATCTTTAGAGTTAAAAGTTGAACTAAAGCACTGACCAGCAGAAAATAAAACACGAGCGCTTTATAAAACTTCTAATTTGAAATAACGGCTCAGAGATGATTCTGTTTCCTGGGAAGGGGTTAAAGATATTTCCTATTTCTAACAGGAAATATCCAACTGTCAAATGACCACATGATCTCACACACACACTCGCACAGGTGAGAGTCACTGACATTAAAACTTCAGTTTTAGTGTTTTTCTGCACATATACTGCAGTATCATCAGTACTGTCAATACTTTTGTGTGAACCACACGAACAGATGAAGTGAGAGTTTGGAGTTTGAGCACTGGGTTTTGTATGCAGGAGCTCTTGCAGACACAGCTGAAGGATAGATGAAGCTCCTCTGCAGCACAGACAGCAGTGCCACAGACGCTCTGTCCAATCAGAGGCTGACACACGGGCACACATGGAGTAGATCAGCTCCTCCATCAGTCACTGAGACTTCACATCCACTCTGGAGCTCACTCTGTGAAGCTCTGCCCTTCTCAGGAGGTCAGAGGTGATTGGACGGCTCACTCCAAAGGGTTCCATAGGTAAAAAGTCTGGGGAAGGGAGGGGGGATCTTCCTGTTTTTCATCACGGCATAGAACCAGTGAAGAAAACTGCTCATGATGTGGACAGGTGTGGACAACACACACTCAGATGCACATACACACAGACAACCACAGACACTGAGCTGATGCTGGAGGAGAGGAGCGGCTCTTCAGCAGCATCTCTCCAGGCCTCAGCGCCTCTCTGCTCCTCCTGTCCGGTTCCGACAGACGTGTGTGTGTGAAGGGTGGGGGAGTTACAGACAGATGACAGACAGGCTCTCCTCCTCCACGCCCTGCCCTCCCCCTCTCTTACCTCCGGGCTCTTCCCCGCTGCTCTTCGCTTCTTGGATCTGGGGCTGGCGTGCTGCGGGGCGGGCAGAGCATGAGCGGGTCCCGTTATCCGGACTCACACGGACTGGGGCGGCTCGGCTCCGATGATGCTCTACAACATCTCCTCCTGACGCACCCGCTGCGTCAACACGCACCGCGACAGCGACCACCGCACCGGAAGAGCTGCCGAGACCTTCACAATTAAAGCCCGCACCTGATAACATGCCCAGTGAGGTTCGAACAGGTTTTATTAGAAAAAATAGAATATTACAGTCCACTGCAGCACCGACCGAGTCTGAGGCAGGCACACCGGGGCTGGCTGTCAAATTACCTGGTACTGCCACAGCAGAGGGCGCTGTGGAGCTCTGTTATCATACATTTGGCTTGGCAGTGGTCAGTAGTTAGACTCAGAGGCACTATGTTGTAATTTCGGTGAGTCAGACTGAATTTTCATGTTGTTTTTGTTCACACAAAACTAGCCATTGATTAAAATGAAACAGTGGTTCACCTGCTGGCTAAAGTCACGTGGTAGGCAGGATTCTGCAGATTGTACCGATAGGGATGGTGTGTGCTGAGCCAATCCAGCGGTGCACACCTCACACGACTGAGTCGAATGGCTGTGTAAGTGGCAAGTCAGACCTGCATGATCCAGCAAGACTTAAACCGGAGAGCAGCTCAGAGTCCCTTTTACATACTGTAAGACTTGAGCACGGAAAAGCACGGCCCCCTCAGCGTTGGTTGCTGAGGAGCGATGATGGAGGATAACTCATGTACGAGTAAAAAGTGTGACCACGCGAGTAACTTCGTCACAGCACACCTGACTGCAGGTGTGACCGTGACGGAACGGCTGCCCTCGGCCTACTCTTATTGTGAGGGCGGGTCGGTTTCCGGTCGCGCGCTCGGCAGTGTGAGGGTTTTCGGAAGACCCGCTCATCGGTAATCAGCACAGATTCTTCTGATCGATCAGCTCAGCGTGCGCCGGGCAGAGGTCACATGATTTGGAGCGCCGTCGCTTCAGTACGGGAAGCGCCGGTTTTGCGTGACGTCACCGCAACGCTGACACGGGGATGAGGATGATGACGTCATCTATTGTAAAAAAAAAAAAAAAAAAAAAAGAAAAAAAAGTAAATAAGCACGTGCACGTCTCCGGTTCATGGCTCTGCGTGTGACCGTCTGTGAGCTGCAGATGAAGAGTCTACCTCACATGTGACTCAGCTGCTTACCTGCGCTGTGTGCGTGCGTGTGTGTATGTTGGGGGGGTGTACACTAATTCAGTTTTATTTATACAAGCTCAAGGCGCTTTATATTGTAAGGTAGACCTTACAATAACCCAGCAGTCATATGACCTCCTATGAGCAAGCACTTTAGCGACAGTGGGAGGGAAAAACTCCCTTTTAACAGGAAGAAACCTCCAGCAGAACCAGGCTCAGTGAGAGGGCGGCCATCTGCCGCGACTGGTTAGGGTGAGAGAAGGAAGACAGTACAAAAGACATGCTGTGAAAGAGAGCCAGAGATTGATAACAAGTATGATTCAGTGCAGGGAGGTCTTTTAGCACATAGTGATTGAAAAAGAAACATCCATCATGGGTGGATGCATCTGGGAGTTATTTTTTCTAAACAGGCTCAGATTTGACCAATCAGATTACTGCATATGGCAATGAGTACTTTGTGGCTCAAAACCTGGAACTGAAAGTCCAACATGTTGGTTCTCGGAGAGCTGCTGCTCCGTCAATCACAGCAGCTCCTTGGTGCAGGTGACCGTCAGGTGAGCACAGGAGCTGCTCGCTTAGAAGAGCACGCAGCAACACGACATATGAGCAAGCGGAGTGAGGTATGGGGTCTTCACAACCCCTGTTCTCTGTACACCATCAGGACGCTTGGCCTCCCTGTGGCTGCGGGCTGCTTGCCTCCACCCCAGGGAAAAGGGTAACATCTCCTGGGTCTGGGGGTTGTACACATGGGTGCTCACAGACACAAACTATATCTTCCTTGGCTGCTACCTTAAAGCATATCGTGCGCTGTTGATCTTGCGTGCTGCTCAACATTCAATATTTAGTATTTACTGTTACTTACACGTAGATAGGTTGTTGCTTTGACCTCTGTTTTGTGTTGTTCTCTTGTTGTTTGTTTTCTTTTTTCTTCTGTTAACAGGTGACCCAATGGATTTTCTCAGTGTCTTCTCTTACTGTCCCCCGATCCCCTCTGTTTTTCTTTCCCCCTTTTCTGTCTAATTGTCTGTCCAATTTTTAATAACTTAAAATAAATAAATAAATAATAATAATAATGATAAAGATCAATCAAGTGGACCAATATCACATTGACACGTTTTCTCCACTTGAAGAAATAAACCCGTTGGGCATCTTTCCTGGCCCTCAGACAATTCTGATTGTTTTTCTGTCCCGTTCGGTACTTTAGCAAACAAACAAACAAAAAACAGGACTCAAAGAGCTAGAACAACATTTATTCTAACAGTAAAAGTCTCAGCGAACTTTAATCAACAATAAGAACAGAAAAGTCTAAAACCTGAACACCTGCACGGGAACAATGTGAGGCTTTTAATCTAAAAGGTCTTTTGCAAGAAACCAGGTGAGCAGGCAGGTGGCATTAACCTGGAAAGAGTTTATTTGCTGTGCTTTCTGAGCCCCACCCACATCAGACCACCTGAGCTCAGAGACAGTGCAGCGCCTCGACCTGACAGGAAGTGCACACAGAAACCTTGCTGACATCACAAATGGACGCAGTCACTTCGGCGCCACTGAGAGGTGAGCGAGGGTTAGATCAGTCAGTCACAGGAAGCTCCGCCCAGAATCCTTGCTGCTTCCTCGTTCTTTATGATTGTGTTTCCCTTTTAACCCTTGGTAGAACCTCAAAATCCCATCCTTTCGTGAACCTCGGGACCAAAAATTGTCCCGCCCCAAAAGTGTTCTAAAAATGTTATATATCAATATTTTTTTCTACTTTAAATTAGTCAATCTTTTAAAACTACTTCTTATATGTCAATTTTTTTTTGTTTTTACCCTTTATCCTTTTTTCTCCCTTGAAAATATATTCATGGTCAATAGTTTTTAAATTTTACCATTTCGCCGGATTTTAACCCTTTATATCCCGGTTTTCGTCACATGAGCGCACTGCTTTTTTTTGCCCCAAAAAACATAAAACTTGAATATTTTCCAAAAAAAACATTTGAGGTAATATTCAATTGTTATTATAATTAGGCCTTTAGATGGACTAAAGATTGGCACCAACAGTCATTTCGATCGCCTTTTTTTTTTTTTTTTCAGGACCAGAAAATGGTGCCTTATTACTTTGCATTGATTTAGTTACTTCGACAATTTCACTAATGGTTATCTCTCTATCAATTTCTGTTCTGTCATTTACCGATATTTGTGGAATCGGTAATCTATCAAGCGTTTCAGCAATCTTTTTTTCATCAACCGGATCTGAGGTATAAAGATTGGAATAGAACATTTTAAACTGGTCATTAATGGTTTTCGGATCAGACGTCTTTTCTCCAGAGGTTTTACAGATTTCAGAAATCGTGTTAGCTGATATGGATTGCTTAATTTGATGTGCCAAAAGTTTTCCGGCTCTTTCCCCATGTTCATAGAACTTTTGCCTTGATTTGAAAAATAAACGTTCTGTTTGCTGAATGGACCGAATTTTGTATTTTGAATTTAGTAATAATTTTCTCTTATATAGGTCTGGTGTTGGATTTTCTGCATATAAGCAGTCAATCTCTTTTATACTGTTGGCTAGGTTGTTCATTTGTTGTAAGTATTTCTTTTTTTGAAATGATACATATGAAATTATCTGGCCTCTAAGATAGGCCTTTAATGCCTCCAACAACAGTCATTTTCATCCCTTGGGTTTGATTTGTCTCTAAGAAAAACTGTATTTGCTCAGAGACCTTTTTTTTTTAAATGAGTCTTTAGTTAGGAGTAAAGGATCAAGTCGCCAGGCCGGTTTTTGACTTAAGCGTTCATAAAAATTTACATCTAATTGTACTGGACTGTGGTCTGAGATAACAATAGAGTTGTATTGGCAATCTAAAACCTTGGGAAGAATTCTACTATCTACAACAAAAAAAAATCGATCCGTGAGTATGACCGGTGCACTGGTGAGAAAAATGAGAATTGTTTAGATGTAGGATTTTTGTCCCTCCAGGGGTCAAAAAAAGCATAAGATTGCATAAAGGATTTAAGAACATTACCCGCTTTTGAAATTTTGCTATCAGGTTTTGGGTTTGATCTGTCAAGTTGAGGATTAAGTACGCAGTTAAAGTCACCACCCAGTATCAAATGGGACTCTGTTAAATCTGGCAGGTGTTTTAAAAGGTACAATAAAATTTGGGTCGTCCCAGTTTGGTCCATATACATTAGCAAGAATGACTTGTTTCCCATACAACCTGCCCTGTATAATAATATATCTCCCTCTGGTATCCGCCACAGTTGATAGTGGAATAAATGGAATCCCCTTCCTAATTAGAATAGCCACACCCCGTGATCTATCCTCAAATTTTGAGCTAATATTGGCTTACCCATGTTTTTTTAGTTTAATTTGTTCACTTGATCGGAGGTGTGTTTCCTGCAGATATACAACATCGGATCTCAATGATTTTAAATGAGTAAAAACCCTTGTGCGTTTAACCGGATTATTTATACCTTTAACATTCCATGTTATAAAACGAAGAGGCAGATGACTTTGCGAGCTTGCCATTCAGGTACCAAAATGCAGGTGCAGAAAAAATATGTCCCAACCTCTGGAACCCCCCCAAAAGAAAGAGGGGAGAAGGAAAAAAAAAAAGGGAAAAAAATAAATAATAAAACGAGCCTCAAAACCCTGCTGATCTACTATTATCCCTGAGATCGCAACCCTCCAGGCTAGGATAGCACAGTGACTAAACGTACTGTTAACCCTCAAACAGCCCCTCAACTGGGCAATATAACATTTAATAGCTAAACAAAACTCCAAAACTTATATTTTCCACTTTCCCCGTGTTTATTCTAATCAAATGCCCCAGAATAACAGCAATATCTCGAACATATCAAAAATCGGAACGAAGAGGAAGGCAGAGTATTCATAATCAATTAAATCAAAAATCATTCTACCTTCCGGCCTTTTATGACTATGGCCCAATTATTTACTTGACATCTCCCCAGCACCGACGTATAACTATGTCCCTTGAGT